ACGGAGAATACTGAAATGAATTTCAGTTCAAAAACGACGATCAAAATCAATTAATTAAAGAATAATGAAAAATTAATACAATTAAAGAATAATGAAAATCGAGTAAATATAGCAAAAGTGCATCAATAAGTAATGAAACAAACCTGAGGACTCGATGGGCTGTACCGCGGTGATGACGGCGAGTATTGTGGTGAACTTGGTGAGTACTGAAAGCAACTTAGTTTCATCACTGCAACAACTAAGCAATCAAACAAAGCCAAATGAAGCAATGAAAGAACAAAAAAAAACAACAAAATCAATAAACAAATAACCGCTGGAGAGGCATCACCACCCATTGGTGAACTTGGTGTATATTGCGGTGAAGAAGGAGAGTACTGAAATATTGAAATTATTACTTTTCAATAATTTATGTTTCCGTTTTTTTTCAATAATTTTCGATATACAATTAAAGAATAATGAAAATCAAACAGACCTGAGGGCTTGACGGACTGTACTGCGGTGAAGACGGACTATAAGCCGGACTAGTCGGGCTATATGTCGGTGATGTTGGTGAATAACGTGGCGAGGATGGAGAATAACCTGAAAGTGACATTTCATATCAAATAAATATCAGAATGAAAATGACTCAAAAAGGTAAAATATAACCAAAAATCACACTTCAAAACTTGAAACAACATACCTGGTGAGGCAGGACTGTACGAGGGACTTGTCGGGCTGTACGTCGGACTTGTAGGTGAATATGTGGGTGACGTGGGACTATAGGTGGGACTTGTAGGGCTATAGGTCGGTGATGTAGGCGAGTAACGTGGTGAGGACGGAGAATAACCGGGCGATGTGGGCGAATAACTTGGTGAGGTCGGCGAATAAGCTGCAGTTTTACATGTAAATAGAAAATGTCCAAAAAATTCTCATCAAACATAAGCTGCATTTTTTAAGGGAGATTTAATAAAAAATTTTCATTATATTTTTCCCATGTGAAACTTTCATTAAGAAGAATACGAGTTTACGACTAAAGATCCATCAGCAATGTGTTGATATCACCATCAACCTTTCAACAATTGTCGTTTTCATTCTCTTTCGAGCAATAAGGCATACTAACGATATATTATATCAATAAAGCAATGTACAAATTCGAACGCAACTAACATGGTGAGGTCGGTGAATAACTGGGACTCGTTGGTGAATAACTCGGTGAGGTGGGACTGTAGCTGGGCGAGGTCGGCGAGTAACCTGAGATTTATTAAAAAACTTGATTCGTTCAACTCTTTGTTCAATCAAAACCAAATAAAATGTCTTCTGAAATTTCATTCAATACGCTATTCAATATTCAAAGAAAAGAAGTTCACTTACTTGGTGATGTAGGGCTATAGCTCGGTGATGTTGGTGAATAGCTTGGCGATGTGGGTGAATAACCTGAAATCATAAATGATTATAACTGATCTCTGATCATCATCACATGGTCAAATTGAAATAAAATAACGAATCACTTACTTGGACTAGTCGGTGAATAACGTGGACTCATAACGCCATAAGCTGGTGAGGTGGCTCCATAGGCGGATGCTGGACTGGTCGGTGAATAACTCGGTGATTTTAGGGCATCCAATCCTGAGCCGTAATCGCTCGCCGGCGAATATGCACCACTTGGCGACATCGCTCCCAATGAACCACCCGGAGAGCCTGGACTCCACCCGCCACTGCTGCAAATTAATTGATAATTCTTCAGAAATCACTTAAGATTCGATCATTCCCACTCCAAATTTACAAAATAAATCTAACCCATAAGGTGAGAAGCCTCCTTCACTGTGTCCAGACGGTGAGAAACCAGCCACACCGGGCGTCATTCCCGAACCCACCGCAGGACTCCATGCAGCACCGTACGCCGGGGTAGTGCCCGCATTCCACGGCGTTTGTGCGGGACTCATTGATGAGCTGAAAATGATCAAAAGGTCATCTTCTTAATGTTATCACAACAACAAAGTTTCTACCGAAAGCACACAAACAACAAATACCTCGTCGGTGAAGCACCTCCGCCGAAATACATACCCCCGCCCGCCAGAAGACCACTACCCGCCTGAATTTCCATACCCAGTTTACACTTATCTCCGTCCAACACCAAATCGAAACAGCCCGTTCCAGCACGAGCCAACTGCCCCAACATTATATTCTCTGATACACCTTAACAAATCTTGCGTTAAATCAATCAACCGAAACTCCGTTCATTCCATCTATTTCACCTTACAATAAAACTGCAACATAAAGAAAGGCTCGATATGCGATATCAGATATCGTTTGCAATGATAACAATAATACCTTTGACAGGATCTTGTTCAGCGTGTGCCGATGCCTCCATCAAGATGTCGACTGTTTCTTCGAATGAACACCGCATCAAAGCACCGACCTCTTGTCGATTTATACCGTGACGAGTGATCGCCATTAAGTGCCCTTAATTCACAATATTATTCATTCATATTCATAACAATCAAAAGAAAACAAACCTTTCGCAGTCATCACATCACAAAGCAATGCCAAATGTCTGTAATTCACATACGATCCATCGAACGAGATCACTTGATTCATCTCACGTTCGATTGCCTTCCTCACCGCTTCGATGCCTAACACTTCAAATATTTCACAAATATCATTCGACGTCGTCCTCACTGAATCCACATTCTGTTCACTCAACACCTTAATTTACAATCAAATATT